TTACAGGCAAAACCAAGGCATACCACGCGCCTCCCCGTCGCGCGGCCTGACCAGTACGGGCCGTAGTTTGGCATCGCTTGGTATCTCTTGGAAGCGAGGTCGGTCAAAAGCGAGGTAGGTTTGTTTGCCCCCTACAAACTCAAAGTTGGAGTGTCCATATTTTGTCACCCGCGCGTTGCCTCGCAGACAACCATGTCACTTTGGGTTGGGGGGGCGGGGGCTATGGATATTTGTTCGACGCAGTTCAATGTCGTATCATCTTGGCGCGATGGGTGTGGACATTTTGGTCCACCCGCCGGAGCATGCGTGCCGCTGTCACCGCATCGCACGCCACGGTCGCCGAGCCGCGCGCCAACGACAATTCTTGCTTGCGACCACGACCATGACGACCACGACGACGACCAACCACGACGACGACCAACCACGACGCCGACGACGACGCCGACGACGACGCCGATGCCGATGCCGACACCGACGCCGACGCCGCCGACGCCGACGCCGACGCCGACGCCGACGCCGACGCCGCCGACGCCTTCGCCGACGTCGACGCCGACGCCGACGATGACGACGGCGACGACGGCGACGGCGACGACGGCGCCGCCCCGCCGGCTCGCGCCCCGTGGGCGGGGCTCCCGTGGGGCCCTCACTCGGCCGCAAGGAGGGGCCGCGGGCCCTCCTCGGGGGGGGCCTGCGCCACCGCGGGGGGGGGGGGCCCTCCTGCGGCGAGCTCGCCGCGGGCTGGGGCGCAGGGCGCCTCGCGGATCCCCCGTTCCAGGCCGCGCCTCGGCAGGCTGCTGCGTGCGGGTCCTGGTCCGCCGGCGTGCCTCTCGTCCTGCTCCTCGCCCTCCTCCCCCGCCTCCTCCTCCTCTTCCTCCTCCTCATTCTCCTCCTCCTCCTCATTCTCTCCTCCTCCCTCCTCCCTCCCTCCTCCTCCTCCTCCTCCTCCGCCTCTCTCCTCCTCCTCCCTCCCTCCCCCTCCTCCCCCTCCCCCCCCCCTCCCCCTCCCCCTCCCCAGCCTCCTTGCCCTTCTCTTCGCCCCCCTCCACGCCCGCCTTCCCCCGAGACACCTCTTCCGCCTCCTGTCCTCTGGCCTCGGCTCGCTTCGTGTGCGCACATCGGTCGCTCGTGGCTCCGAGGAGCTTTCAGAGACCATGAGCTGTTCCGCCGCCGCCTCTGTCCTCTGTTCTCGGCCCTGCTGCCTTCCTCCTCGTCTCCCCTTCCCTCCGTCCCTTTCCCCCTCCTCTCTCCTGCCTTGCCCCCCCAATCCCTCGTCCTCTTGTCCTTGCCGTCCCTCCGTCCCTCCCCTCTCTTCCTCAATTCTCCTCGCTCCCCGTTTTTCCCTCGTGCTTCCCGATCCCAGCTTCGGCACTCCAACTCCGATTTGGCTTCGCTTCCAGGGCGTTCCGAGGTCTCGACATCGAATTGCCTGTCTCGATCGCGGCGCAGCTCGAGTGCCTGTTGTCGCGTTCTCAATCCACGAGTCTCTGCGCCAATATGTCGTCCAACCTCTCTCCGCGCTTCCTGGCCCCGTCTGGTCCCATTACCGCTTGCCCTCCGCACAGTGGACATTTACGTCCGAGTCGACACCCCACTCGGTGAGCATAAGAAAGATCGGCACAGTTGGGTGGGACGGGTTGTCGGTTTAAGCCGTCAGACGCTGCGCGAGCGCACCTAGCATCTATGTTGCCTCCATTCCAGCTCCATGCGCTGCTGCTGCTGCTGCTGCTGCTGCTGCTGCTGCTCGTCATTCCAGAGGGTTCTAAAGGGGGGTTGGGGGGAGGGGGTTGCCCCTGGGGGGCTCGCTGGAAAACCCCCTCACCAAAAACCGCCTTTGGAATCCTCCGGTCATCGTCCTCCTCCTCCTGCTCATCCGCCACCTCCTCCTCCAATGTACGATGTGCGCAGTTTCTTTTTTCCGATCGCGCATGGCACGATGTTTTTTTTGTGTGGGAACTGCAGGTTCGCTAATGAGCCTCGCCAGCGAATGGAGAGAAACAACCAGCGCCATGGGAAGGGATGGGTGGGGAGTGGTAGGATGAATTCGGGCATGCCCCTCTACAGGAGGAATATTCAAAAATAGTAGAAAACACTCGGGGGACGATTTCTTGAATATTTGACCATGTTGGAGCATATTTTGACTATTTTTAATCCCTCGCCCAAAATCCGCCTGTAGGGGGGCACGCCCGACCTGATGGTAGGATGTCAGATTTGGCGGATCTGGCGCGAGCGCACCGAGCTTGCCTCTGCGTTTCACGGCCCAGTCTGGTCCCATTGGCCCCGGCCCTTCGCACAGTAAGAAAAGCAACAACGTGCCAAGCACCGCAGACATCATTTATACCCGATTCGACGCCAGTCAGTGCTCAGAAAATAGATCGGGGCAATCGGGAGGGTTGGACGGGCGGGTTGGGACGACACACGCTGCGCGAGCACACCTGACATCGAGCTTTTCTCCACCCCTCTCCCCCCTCTCCCCTTCGCTCCCCTTCCTCCTCGCCCCCCTTTCTCGAGGCAGGCGGGGTAATATCCCTTCGGACCTTCGGGGGTCCTCCAGGAAAGCAGGAACGGACACACCCCATCGGGCGTCTGCGCCGTTCCGCCTGGCGGCCAGGCTGCGAGGTCGGCGGGGGCTCCCCCGCCCGCCTCCCGCGCGGCTCGCTCCTCCCCTGGCATCGCTCGGACGTGTGCATTTGTTCTCGGCGAGGGCCATCGAGGAGCATCCTGGATCACTTGGCGAAAAAAACACGCGCGAAACCGACAAAAAACACAGGGAATGGACGTCCGAGCGATGGCCAGCTCCTCGCTGCCCCCTGCGCACCGCCCGCCGCCGCCGCCCCCCGGGGGCCCTGGAGCTCGAGCGTGGTTGCCGCGGGGGGCGCGGGGCCGAGTCTCCCCACCTCCGGGCCGGCCGCAGCGCGCCGCGGGCGACGGTCGAGGCGCGCCGACCCGGGGGGGGCGGGCTCGGGGGGCCCGCGGGCGGTGCTCTTTGTGTGCGCAGCGCCGGGCGGGCGCGGGGAGAGGGGCACGGGCAGAAGCGGCAGCAGGAGGAGGGCGAGGGGAGCACGAAAAGGAGGAGGAGGAGGAGGAGGAGGAGGAGGAGGAGGAGGAGGAGGAGGAGGTGGAGGAGGAGGGGGGGGGGCGAGGGGACCGATGCCATGAGATGCCAGGGGAGGGGGAGGCGGAGGAGCTGGAGCTGGAGCTGGCGCGTGAGTGCGGGCTTTCTGCAGTTGAGGACTCGCCAAAAAGTGTCAGCGAACGTTGGAAGGTGATGATGGTGATGATCATGAGGAGGAGGAGGAGGAGGAGGAGGAGGAGGAGGAGCAGGAGCAGGAGCAGGAGCAGGAGCAGGAGCAGAAGGAGGAGGAGGAGGAGGATGAGGAGGAGGCGAGGTGCCGATCCAGGTGCTGCGGCGCCCCGCCTCCAGCACCCTGGGGCTGCAGCGAGGCCCAGCATCGGCCCAACTGCGCTGCAGTACGCCGTTTCGGAGCAGCTTGGTGCCCGCGGCTGCAGGCAGGCTCGGGATGTGAGCCCGGGAGGCTTTGTGCTCGAAGGCACTTCCGAGGATCCCTGCTCTCGGTTCCGTCGCAGGGTCCACGACCCCTCTTCCTGCTACCTTCACGGTCTCGAATGGCCTCATGACGCGCTCATCCTGGACCGTGAGGCTCGAGTTCTACGGGTGGATCGGCGCTTGAGGGCTCGATCCCTGTCTTAGGGGCGTCGGGATGGGCGGCGGTGGTCTTTGACGGTGACGTGAATGTCCGAAGCGTCCTCTGGGGGGTGGCGCCTTTTGGCGAGAGTCCCCTCCAAGCGGCCCGGGTCGGCGAAGACCGCGCGGTTTTCCAGCTCACGCGCCACGCGGTGCTATCTGAAGGGTGATGTCTGAGTATCGGCAGTGCTGGCGCGTTGGCTTGTGCCTCCCGCGTTAGAGCCGCGCCCAGCCAATTCAATCCTCGGGCGCGTTGGTGGGCCCAAGTCCGCGACAAGCTGGACGGCGCTGCGGTCAGGCACATGCCAGCGTACTGCAGCGCGGCCGATGCCGTGAACGGCCTATTCACCTATTCACTCGGGTCTAGTGGCTCGGGGCAGTAGAGCTGCCAATAAGTATGCGAAGTGCGGTGCTGAGGTCTGTCGTTGGTAGGAGCAGGGCCGCCTTGGAACTCATGGGTGCCATGCAGTCGCCAGAGAGGGTTCGAATTCTGCGGCCCGCCAAGGAGGCCTCTGTGGCGAGCGAAGGGCCTCTCGACAATCCCCCCCCCTCTCTTGGTTTAGGCATGTTGAGCTGGGCGGGTGCCCCCACCCGGAGGAAGATGCCGAAGGCCCGACCTGCTCGGGGGCCCCCAAACGGGGCGGTGACCACACCGTGTGGTGAGTTGGTGGGGATTCGGGGTCACCGCACGGTTTTGGGACTCGGGTCGTTTTCCGAGGACGTCTCGGGCGACTGGGGCATCCGAGGTCCCAAAACCGTGCGTTGACGGACCGTGCGGTGACGTCTTGGGAGATTTCGAGGTCACCGCACGGTCTGTCACCGCACCGTTTCGGGACGCCAATAAGGAGGGCGGCAGCCACTCGGCGGCCCGCGGCTCGGCGGCCCCTCCGGCCTCGGGGGGGGGCCGACGTCTGGGCGGGCCTCGGGCCCTGGCACGCCCGCGGCCGTGCGTGCCACGAGGCCACCCTGGAGGGTTTCTCCGAAGGGCTTAGGCGACCCGTCCTCCTCCTCCTCCTCCTCCTCCTCCTCCTCCTCCTCCTCCTTCTCCTCCTCCTCCTCCTCGGGTCGCCTACGGCCCTGGGGGAAACCGTGCAGGCCACCCCCCATGGAAGGCCCTGAGGGGGCCACGGGCGAGACAGAGCGGTTTCCTGCACCGCGCGCGGCTCCGTCGGCCGCCGCGGGGCGTCGTGGGGTCGGAGCGCTTCCGCGCCAGGTTTGTTCCTCCGTGGTCCCGCTCGGGCGGTCGCGAGCGGCAGCCGGATTGGACTTCGTGAGTCTCAGGAGGGGAAAAGACACA